TGGAAACTGCATAAAATTAAACATGGAAATTCATTCAGGAAACCACTATACCTTAATGATCTATTTGGAACTAAGAAGGGAACACTGTATGAATGGACTAAAGATCGGGAGTCAGCCTTCCAGGAACTGAAGACGAGGTTAGTTACAGCGCCAGTGCTCGTACTCCCAACAGGTAACGAAGAGTTTCATGTCTATAGTGATGCATCGCATAAGGGTTTGGGTTGTGTATTAATGCAGAAGGGTAAGGTTATAGCTTATGCATCTCGTCAGTTGAAACCTCATGAGAAAAACTATCCTACCCATGACTTAGAATTGGCGGCCGTGGTATTTGCTTTAAAGATTTGGCGTCACTATTTGTATGGAGCTACTTGTCAGGTTTTCACAGATCATAAGAGCTTAAAATATCTATTTACTCAGAAGGAATTGAATTTGAGGCAGAGACGGTGGCTCGAGTTGTTGAAAGACTACGATATACAGTACTGGTAACCTAAGGCAGGAAGGGAGTGTTAAACCGACGTGTTCGGATTGTGGGAAACAGCATTTCGGGATTTGCCGACGAACGTCTGGAGCCTGTTATGAATGTGGCGAGATGGGCCATTATGTGAGGGATTGCCCCAAAACAAAGACTGATAACAACAAGAAAGGAGAAAATACCTCGGGTTCCGTTCAGAAAGGAAATGCTGGGAGAGTACAGATGAGACAGGGCAGAGTGTTTGCATTAGTACCAGGAGACACTCAGAATGCTGAGGCAGTGGTGTCAGGTATTTTACTAATTTGCTCCCAAGATGCTTATGTGTTAATTGATTCGGGTTCTACTCATTCGTTTATATCTACTAAGTTTGCTGAGAAAATTAATAGAGAACTAGAGCCCCTTGATTATGTGTTGTCTGTATCTACTCCATCTGGGAGATCTATGTTTGTTGCATCCATTTACAGAGCATGTGTTGTTGTGATTGAGAATGTTGAATTGTTAGTAGATTTAATGCCTCTGGACATAACTCATTTTGATGTTATATTGGGAATGGATTGGTTAGTCGCAAATCATGCATCTATTAATTGCGTTTTGAAAAGTGTCACACTGAGACCCCCAAACCTAGCCGAGGTTATTTTCTAGGGTAAAGGGATAGTGCCCCCACCTTACCTGATTTCGTCCATTAAAGCCTATAAGTTAATTCAGAAAGGGTGTCGAGGCTACTTGTGTAGTATACTGAGTGATCAGAATGGAAATGTTAATTTAGCCGACATCCCGATTGTTAGTGATTTCCCCGACGTCTTTCCGGATGAATTGCCTGGCCACTTGACCGATAGAGAAATAGAGTTTACGGTCGATATTATATCGGGAACGCAGCCGATCTCCAAACCACCTTATAGAATGGCCCCCGCTGAACTTAGAGAATTGAAACTGCAATTGCAAGAGTTGTTAGATAAGGGATTTATCAGGCCGAGCACTTCACCATGGGGAGCACCTGTTCTATTTGTTAAAAAGAAGGATGGCACACTCCGTCTGTGTATCGACTATAGAGAACTCAATAAAGTCACCATTAAGAACAAGTACCCGTTACCTAGAATTGATGATTTGCTTGATCAGTTACAAGGAGCACGAGTCCTTTCTAAGATCGACCTTCGGTCTGGTTACCATCAGCTTAAAGTTAAAGCCGAAGATGTTGAGAAGACTGCCTTTCGAACAAGATATGGCCACTACGAGTTTTTAGTAATGCCTTTTGGAGTGACGCGGTTTGGGGTCGTGACAGAGTGGTATCAGAGCACAAGTTCCTCAGTATACGTTATTCACACACTTTGAGTCCTGAAGAGCATAGGATTTCCCTTAGAAAGATGTTAGGGTTGTCTTCATTGATGATATATTGATCTATTCCAAGAGCGAAACTGAACATGAAAATCATTTGAGACTTGCCTTACAGATTTTGAGAGACCGGAAATTGTATGCTAAGTTTAACAAGTGTGAATTTTGGCATTCTACTATCTCATTCTTGGGTCATGTGATTAGTGAAGAGGGTATCTCGGTTGATCCTAGCAAAATTGAAGCCGTAGTAAATTGGCCGAGGCCGACTAATGTGTCCGAGATTCGTAGTTTTATGGGTTTGGTAGGTTATTATCGGAAGTTTGTGAAGGATTTCTCAAGTATTGCAATTCCATTGACGCAGTTGACTAAGAAGGGAACATTGTATGAATGGACTGAAGATCGGGAGTCAGCTTTCCAGGAATTGAAGACGAGGTTAGTTATAGTACCAGTACTCGTACTTCCATCAGGTAATGAAGAGTTTCAGATCTATAGTGATGCATCGCATAAGGGTTTGGGTTGTGTATTGATGCAAAAGGGTTAAGTCATAGCATATGCATCTCGTCAGTTAAAGCCACATGAAAGGAACTACCCCACCCATGATTTGGAGCTAGCAGCCGTCGTATTTGCTTTAAAGATTTGGCGTCACTATTTGTATGGAGCTTCTTGTCAGGTTTTTACGGATCATAAGAGTTTAAAGTACCTGTTCACTCAGAAGGAATTGAATTTGAGACAGAGAAGGTGGCTTGAGTTGTTGAAAGACTATGATATGCAAATTCAATATCACCCAGGTAAAGCTAACAGCGTAGCCGACGCTTTGAGCAGAAAGTCAGATGGAAATTTGGCGTGTTTGACCATGGTATCAGTGGAGCCGACTATTGTTGATGAGGTAAAGACAAGACAGATGGAGGATAAATTCTTCAAGAAAGTGGCCGAGGAGATTGTCGCAAAGCCGAGATCAGGGTATACCATCAAAAATCAAGTGCTTAAGTTTGAAAGAAGGTTATGCGTGGCCGACATCCCAGAGTTGAAAAGGAGAATTTTGCAGGAAGCTCACGGTTCCAAGTTTGCTGTCCATCCAGGGAACACTAAGATGTATCAGGATGTGAAACAGACGTTTTGGTGGCCAAATATGAAAAGAGAAATAGCCGAATTCGTGTCCCAGTGTTTGCATTGTCAACAAGTGAAAGCAGAACATCAAAGACCGGCAGGACTTCTTCAACCTTTGCCGATTCCTGAGTGGAAATGGGAACACATCTCCATGGATTTTGTGATTGGTTTGCCGAAGACACCGAAAGGTATGGATTCGATTTGGGTTGTTGTTGATAGATTAACTAAGTCAGCACACTTTTTACCTGTTAAGACTATCTTCAACGCCGAACAACTTGCCTTGTTATATGTGAATGAGATTGTCAGACTTCATCGAGTGCCGATGTCAATTGTGTCAGACCGAGACCCTAAATTTGTTTCTAGATTTTGGCAGAGTCTACAGAGGGCTTTCGGAGCCGAACTGAGATTTAGTACAGCTTTTCATCCCCAGACGGATGGGCAGACAGAGAGGACAATTCAGACACTTGAAGATATGCTTAGACTTTGTGTATTGGACTTCCTAGGAAGTTGGGGAACGCATTTGCCCTTAGTGGAATTCGCTTACAACAACAGTTATCAAGCTAGCATTGGCATGGCGCCGTATGAAGCCTTGTACGGAAGGAAGTGTAGGTCGCCGATATGTTGGACCGAAGTTGGGGACGGAGCTCTGCTTGGTCCCAAATTGATTCAAGTAACAACAGAGAAGATTAAACTTATCCAACAGAGGATTAAAACTGCCCAGAGCTGACAAAAGAGCTACGTCGACCAGAGAAGGAAAGAGTTAGAATTCGAAGTTGGGGATCATATATTCCTGAAAGTTTCACCGATGAAAGGAGTTTCCAGATTTGGGAAGAAAGGTAAGTTAGCACCTCGTTACATTGGGCCATTTGAAATTCTTGACAAGGTTAACTCTGTTGCCTACAGACTTGCTTTGCCACCCGAATTAAGCCAAGTCCATAATGTGTTTCATGTTTCGATATTGAGGAAGTACATCCGAGATCCACTACATATAATTGATTATTCTGGGATTACGGTTAATAAGGATTTAGGCTACGAGGAGAAACCGATGTGTATTATCGACAGACAAGTTAGACAGTTGAGAAACAAGTCGATACCAATGATAAAGGTGGAATGGAAAGAGCATCACGGCAAGGATGCCACATGGGAAATGGAAGAGGAGATGAGAATTCGACATCCAGAATTATTCCCGGAACAAGGTAATTTAAGTTTGGGGACCAAACTTCTTTAAGGGGGGTAGACTGTAGCGACCCTCACCTTACTCTTGTCATACTTGCATACATTCATGCATGATCTTGTCTTGTTATATTGTTTTGCAAGTCTTGCCTTGCCTTGTTTTGTTTAAAGTATTGCTTGCATGATTTTGTTCCTTGCTTGGTGTGTAGCCGAGGTCATCTTGAGCTTAGTACACCTCTGAACCCTTACACTTAGAACTGTTTTGGAGCCTTGGTCGACCCCCATCTTCACCTCGGGCATGGTTGCCGAGATGTTTTGCACTTAGTGATCCTTGTCCTTGGGCAGGTATGGCCTAGACCGAGGTGTGGCACACCTCGGCCAAGGTGTGGCACAGCTTAGTCAAGTGTCGTCCTCCCTAGTCGATGTCTTTGTTACCCTGTTGCCGAAGCTTTGACTTTAGCCGATGTTATTATTTGCCGATGTGTCTTGCCCTAGCTTGCTGCATACGCTTTGTCATAGACTTGTCTTATCAATCAATCACCTTTTGAGTTGAACCGACCCGGTAGCGCCACGTGTCTGAGCTGATTGTTAAGACAACCGGCAGACCTAGAAACAAATCATTTTGTCTCAAATCTTTGCCTTTAGAGAGAGAAGCTCTAAAGAGAAGGAGGAGAAGTTCTTGAGTGAGAATAGATCTTCCAAGCTTGATCTTCGAGGTTTGAACCGCTGGATTCGAGTTTTGAGGTTAGAATCTTAACCTACTCTTATTGTTCTTATTGATCATCTAGCTGCATTGCATGATCGAATCTATTTTGCATGTCATGCATCGATTTGAAGTTGGTTTCGGAAGAGAAAGATAGTGTTCATGTCTTCTTGAAGGAAAGTCTCGTTTTGATCCGAAAGTTTGGAACAAGAAACATGTTTTGTGTTTGTTCTTGCATGACCTTCTTGTATGGGTACCCAGGTCCATGTTTTGAACTCATGGCATGAAATCTCAGATTTTTGTAACCAGTTATCATCTTGCATTCATCTTCCTCATGATCATGTTCATCACGTTCTTCATGTTCTTCAAAGGGAAACCTAGGTTTTCCCGACTTTGCTTTTGAATGAGGCCATCGGGACCACACCTCGGCAAGGAGGTGTGGAACCTCGTTAGAGACCTGGTTGGTACCCAGTTTGTTTTCGTGAGACGGGAGCACTGTTTAAACTCCCAGCATGTTTTGCTTTGTTATTGACTTGGATCTGGTAAGAATGCCGGGGTCATTTGCATACATATAAAGCTTGTTTTGAGAATGTGATTGCCATGTGATTGTAGGTCCTTGATCTTTGCTTTGAGCCAACACCCGAGGAGATCTAAGTGAGTGGTATTTTTAATAAAGCTATGTTATACTATTTTGATAAATGTTGCTTTGCTTTGTTTTGACGAAAGTACTTGTTAAGCATGAATGAATAGCTCTGTTTTGATGTACCAAGTATAAGCTTCGTTTTGAATGGCAATGTATCAAGTAAGCTTTGTTTTGATGACCTCCTCGGATAGTCCCTTGTGCTGGAGGACTCTAAACTTTCGCAGCACTAAGTAT